GAGATGGCTGCAGTGGTATTTGCTCTAAAAATTTGGAGGCATTACCTATATGGACTTGTGAGATTTATACTGACCATAAAAGTCTGAAGTATATCTTTCAGCAGAGAGATCTGAATCTTCGGCAGCGTCGGTGGATGGAACTACTCAAAGACTATGAATGTTCTATTTTGTAACATCCTGGAAAATCTAATGTGGTGGCTGATGCATTGAGCAGAAAATCTATGGGGAGTTTAGTTATATAGCTCCTGCAAAGAGACTTTTGACCAAAGATATTCAGAGAGTAGAAGATATAGGTATCAGATTTAGTGTCGGAAATTCAGAGGCATTGTTGGCTTGTGCTCAAGTTAAGTCTTCATTAGTTGAGCGCATTAAGGCCACCCAATATGAGGATGAGCGATTATGCAAATACAGAGATGAGGCCTTAGCTGGTAAAAGCAAGGATATGATTGTTGAAAGTGATGGTGTGCTTCGAATGGGTGACATGCTATGTGTAGCAGACATAGATGGGTTGAGACATGCTATTCTTGAAGAAGCCCATAACTCTATATACACTATACATCCTGGATCCACAAAAATGTATCATGACCTAAAGCAATTCTATAGGTGGGAAGGTATGAAGAAAGATGTTGCTAACTTTGTTTCTAGTTGTTTGACTTGTCAGCAGGTCAAGGCTGAGCATCAGCGACCCGCAAGACTGTTACAACAAATTAAGATTCCAGAGTGGAAATGGGAAAGAATTACTATGGATTTTGTCACCGGGCTACCACGAACCCTTAGAGGTTATGACTCTGTATGGGTGATTGTAGATCGATTGACGAAATCAGCACATATTTTGCCAGTGAAGACTACATATAGTGGAGTAAGATATGCACAGATATTTATGAACGAAATTGTCCGACTTCACAGAGTTCCAATATCCATCATCTCTGATAGAGGATCACAATTTAGCTCACGCTTTTGGAAATCTTTTCAAGAAGCATTGGGTACACGAGTAGATCTTAGTACTGCATTTCATCCACAAACAGATGGGTAGTCTGAACGTACTATACAGATCTTGGAGGATATGTTGAGAGCTTGCATTCTTGAGTTTGGAGGTAGTTGGGACGCTTATCTACCTTTAGCTGAATTTGCTTACAACAATAGCTTCCAGTCCAGTATTCAAATAGCACCGTACGAAGCATTATATGGTAGAAAATGTCGTTCTCCAATCGGATGGTTTGAAGCTGGTGAGACTAACTTATTGGGACCTGACCTAGTACAAGAAGCTATGGACAAGGTCTAGTTGATCAGACAGAGATTGCTTGCAGCTCAAAGCAGACAAAATTCTTATGCTGATAAGAGAAGAAGAGATTTAGCGTTCACAATTGAGGACAAAGTGTTCCTACGAGTCTCCCCTATGAAAGATGTGATGCGGTTTGGGAAAAGAGGCAAGTTGAGCCCCAGGTTTATAGGACCGTATGAGATACTAGACCGAGTGAGAGTTGTGGCTTATCGTTTGGCACTTCCTTCTGAGTTGTCTTTTATTCATCCAGTGTTTCACGTCTCAATGCTAAGAAAATGTATATCAGACTCATCTCAAGTACTTGAAGTACCTACTATACTGATTAATGAGAAGTTGTCTTACGAGGAGGAGCCGATGGCTATTGTTGATAGGCAAGTAAGAAAATTACGGTCAAAGAAAATTGAGTTCGTAAAAGTCTTATGGCGAAATCATACCGTTGAAGAAGCTACTTGGGAAATAGTAGATGCTATGCGAGTCAAGTACCCCCATTTGTTTCACTCTACAGGTACGTACTTTAGTTAAATTCGGGGACCGAATTTCATAAGGTGGGGAGAATGTAATACCATATTTTTTTATAAGGGTGTATTGGTCATTAGCATAATAATAATAATAATAATAATAATAATAATAATAATAATAAGAAGAAGAAACTAACTATAAAAAAACAAATCAAAAAAAAGAAAAAAAAGAGTAAAGCAAAAGGGCCGAAGCCCATTTGCCAAAAGAAAAGAAAGGGCAAAAGGGGGGTTAGCTGCTACACCGAAGCAGAAGCTTCAGAAACGCCGAAAAAAAAATTTCAAAAGGAGAAGAAGAAGAAGAAGAAAAAGCTGGAACCAAACCTTGAGAAATTTTAAATACGCACTGGTTCTTTCGGGTAATACTCGAATTTCTCATCCGGGTTCTTTTCTTCTGGTAATTCTTTTGTCTCAGTTTATATATTTAAAGGGTTTCACAAGGTATAAGAAATTTAATACCAATAAAAGTTATTCTGGGCAAATTAGGCAATTGAAAGTTGGTCAAAGGTAGGATAAATTCACTTGGAAAAAGAAGGGTATTTATGTATTTGTACTTAAACTAGTCTCATTATATATGATCTTTGTTAGGTGTAAATTAAGTTAGGGTACAAGGATTGAGTTTTGGTGTTTAACTGTATTGCAATAACAATATCGAATTGGGTTTGAATGTGGTAAGTCTAGTATTGAGCACAAAAGATAAGTACCAATTAAGAAGGAATATTATGGACAGTAATGTTATTTCAGTTTCAATTTATGCACACGGTTAAGGAAATTGAACAGTACGGGGAATAAACCATATAAATACCTTTTTATTTAAAAGATTTTGGACTAATTTAAATTACTCATAGAATGGGTAAATATAATTCGGCGAATTGATGATAAAATATAAAACTCGGAGGATTGGGTATTCTAAATTAGTGATGGATTTAGCCTAAATGAGGCAATTAACATGAGATCGGTATTATATAATTATAGATTGATTGGAGGAATTTGTATGAATTGCTCGAGGTGAAGCATTTGATATTTCAGCACGAGTACTGTGAGTAGTAATCTTACCGCAATTTGTGTTTTCATAACTTGCATGATTTTTAATATAAATATGTTACCGATTATTTTGAGTTGCATGTGGGACAAGTTTTTTACTCGATATGATACCGAAATAGTTATTTGAGATGATTACCGTTGTTTTAAATATTGCCGTTGTCACTAGATTTGTTTTACCGTTACTTGAATTTACTGTTATCGAAATAAAATTATATGATTTGATAAGAACCGAAATGCCCTATATTGTTTTAAAATATTTTTTACAAGTATATACGGATTACAGAGACAAGTATAATGGAAGTAGACATTGAAGGATCCCGTAGCTAACGGCGGGTTCGTTAGACCTGGTGCACCTTGTAATTACCGATTACCATTATAGCCCTCGCTAGTGGGAAGGTAGAACTAGCATACCGTTACCGATTTTCCTCGAATAAGGACTATTGTTATATTTGACTTCTTGCGAAGAAGTCCACAGTTATACCGATTACATAATCCGTTCATTGAAACCTCCCAAATATGAATATTGATATTATACAGTGGTTACCGAGCTTATTATTGAATTGTTAATTGCATTATACTACAAGAAAAATATGACGAGACTGAAAATAATTTATTGTTTTTGAAAGGGCATTCTCATGTTATTTTCTGTTTGATATACTAGCATGTTTTCTGACTTGTCCCCATTAAAAACAGTTGTGGTTAAGTGTTAATACTCACTGAGCTAGCGACTCATTCCCCGCTAATTCTTTTTTATAGAGACAGCAATTGACGAGAGCGAGGATTTTGTTAATTAGAGCACACATGTTGATAGTTCTTAGTGAGCCTCGCACTTGTTCGCGTGAGTGGAGATTTTATTTATTGTTATGGTCTTTTCTTTGAACTCTTAGAGTCGCTCTATAGTCATTCTTTTAGCGCCATGAGTATCCTTTCGTTATTATAGACTTATGATGAGTATTGCACTATCTTATCGAAATTGGAGATAAATTAGTATTTCTGATTGTTAGTGGGTTGATTAGTAATGGTGGAGATTTGTTTTGGTTAATTGATAAGTTGTCGGTTATTGGTTTGATATTAGGATGGTTGGTTGTTGATTTTGAGAAAGGAAAATTTTTTGGATAGCCCAAAAACAGGAAAAACTCTGTCCGTTTTTCTGTAAAATACCAATGAGGCTTACTTGGGGCACTTGCTCCTAAGTGTCGGTCAATAATCCTAAATTGGGTCGTGACATTGATTTCACTCAAAAGCCACCCAAGTTTCATCCTTACTTCTTTTACTGCTCATTTTACAATTAAAGTACTTTAAGAGGTAAAAGGATCAAAACAATGATAATTAAGAACAAAGGGGTATAGGCTTGTAATGTAGTTGCCAAATAAAAGTTTATAGGCTCAAAAGGGTTGACTAGGGATAATATTTTATTGTGATAAGAATTAAGTTCAAACAAATCAAAGAAAACCTAATGTCATTTTTCAAACCGAGCAAAACCTACAATTTCTCTTTAATTCACATGCCGGGTAAGTTCTAGACTCTAATGCAATGACAGTGACTATATAATTTCTCACCACACATGGCACATGACTCACTAAGGACGGCTCCATTCCTATTCTCAAACAACTGCAAGTATTCACATAGCCACAAAATATTAAGCATCAAACACAAAGTGACACAAGCCAAGAAAATGAAATATAGGTATCAATAAACATGTTATTACTCAACAAGGCATAATAAATATTTTCAAACCATAGGAAAGGTACTACATATGGTAGAGCCTAAATATGCTACTATAAAATTAGTCAAAGGCGCCTAGCATTTCTTATCTTTTTTTCTTTTCTTTTATTCCCTAAATTCTATTATAATCTAAAGAGAAAATAAAAACTACTGCCCGGTTCAACTACATCCCGTGGAAAAGAACCGATGCACAANATATATATATATATATACATACTTATGTCCCTCAAGAAAACTGCCTAAGAGATCCATCTTCAGGAAATGTCCAGTCATTTAATTCTTTTTAATTATTATTAATTTTTTTTAAAATATTAAATAAGGGTAAATATGAAAATAACATAAACATTAAACACACAAACTAATTAGTTTATCTAATATTTACAAATGACGGGGAATACCTTCCACCCCACACTTAGATCATGTGTTATCCTCAATGCATATATAAATTCATAAACAAAATAAAACATGTAAGGTGGTTGGAAAAACTCCCTAATCAGACATCGTCTTCGCCCTTATCATCGAAGGCTCCATCTTCACATGTCCAGTCCTCATCCTCTTCTCCCTCGGCATCATCATCATCATCCTCGTCGGACTGCTCTGGCTTGCCTCAGAACATATTGGTGTGTTGACATCCTCATCATCTAGGAGTCGCTGCCCATCGCCAAGCCTAACTAGCTGTTGCACATGAGGCTTTAGCAGATAACGCTCCTCCAAAGTGGCCCTCTCCTCAGTAGTGGCCGGTCTTCCCCTAATCCTGAGCTGTAAGTCCATCATCCCATATAGATGTGCCATAAAGCTGTCATCTCGAGCATTGTGCTCGGCACCTATCATTGTGGCTATGTCATTCTCCTTTTTCACCCGTATTCTTGTGATGTCCAATAGTCTAAGGGGTGGTGGAATGACTTTATCAAAATCTCGCTCCTCCTCCACCTCCTCTTTGCGTAGGTACTGAGTCAACATGTTGGCAAAGGACAATCTGTCAATGCACTTTCTTTTTCTCACCTCGGACATCTGGTAGCGTATTAAGTGGCCCACATTCACTTTCTGGCTAGTCATGAGGAAGTACAACACGCATATCCTTTCACGACTTATAAGAGTCTCATGATTGCATGGTAATAGTCGTGTGTTGATCAATTTCAGCCATACCTGAGCTTCCGGCTTCATTTTTTTTTCTTAGGAAATTTTCTTATGGCATTGGGTCTTCTTGTCACGAACCCAAGCAGCCATAGAATTGACACCACAGAGAGTGTGTCTCAATGCCGGATATGTAGGACGAGTGATGAAGTTCTCCAAGGGTTGTTGTGGAACATCCGGAGCTCCCAAAAACTTACATATAGCTGTTGCCGAAAAATCGATCAACCTACCTCTAATAGGCACCAGCTTCTCAAGATCATTAGGATCAAAACCGGCATAAAATTCCCGAACAAGGTTGACATTTATATCCCCGGTGTTTCTGAACACATAGCTTAAGCCAAGGTCGTGAATACCTTTCCAAATTGAGTGTTACTTAGCTTGTAGGTGCCGCTCATGAATAGATGACTCGGGATGTATTTGTCTCGGCCGACAAAGCTTGTACCAAGCCTTGGAAAATTGAGGTATGCTCTTCAGTCCAAATTCTTGTTGTCCCTCAGGTTGTGGGCGTGTGGCTGCTATAGCTGCAACTGCTTGCAACCCTTCAATTTGGCTTGAAGTGGCCTCCCCACCTTTTCTCTTTTTCTGTGGAGGTCTGGAAGAAGCCTTGGCCTTCGTCGGAACAATAGCCTTGCCCTTGCCTTTACCATCATCTTTTTTAGGAGGCATAGTCGTACCTACATAAGTGATTGTTCCTCAGTGATAAAACATATGAATCAATTCAAAACATGGTCTTATGGCCCCACACTTAAGAGTTCACTACATGATGTTCAACCATTTTGAGGCTACTCAGACTTCACCTATTTATTTTAGCATGAGAATAAAACAATCGCAAAATGATGTTTACCACAATTGCTATGCATATTGCTACTGTTTAGCCCGCCTAAACTTGCAATTTGGAGTATTGAAATGCAACAAAATATTAGTCATTACAATCCCGAAGAGTAGAACTCCATTTGGGCCAAGAATGCCTTTGAGGCATTTTGACAAACACTTAGCGTGCACTAGTGTTGTCAAATTAATTGTAGATATGAGGGATTGCCCACCCTCCCTAAATCAGCTTGGGGATTTCATATTATCACCCTTTTACACAACAACAATACCAATCATATGGGGTTTATGGGATTAGGGCGAGCAAGCATAGTGTTACTTTGAAGATATACACAAAAATGGTGGAATTGCATTTCTTTAACTAAATTCGAATTTTGGATAGAGTAGAGAGTTAGAAACATACCTTAGATGCTTAGGAGGATTGAAGTGTTCTTCAAATAAGGTCCCAAGTGATTGAAAGAGATAATGAGCAAGGTCTTCAATGAAATTTGTGTGTGAGGGGAAGGGAAAAGGGACGAGCAGTGTATTCTGTAGAGTGAGGTATGTGTGTTTGTATAGTGTTTTAACAGAAAGAGGTTAGAAAGCAAAGTGATGTTTTAATATAAACAAGTTAGAAAACTAAGTTTAAAAAATATTAAAGCACGTTACCTGGCGAGGCAAAATACTTAGCGATCTTAGAAGCAGGCGACGCGAGCTTCTTATCGCGCGGAAACGCTGGCGACGCGAGGGCTGCTGTGAGGTAGACCTCGCTACAACCCATGCTATGCGAGGTCCATAGCGAGCTGATTTTCTGGCTGGGTGAGGTCTGATGCGAGGTATTGAAAATCAAAGAAAACTTACCTCGCGATAACTCGTACGACGCAAAGCAAACTCGAACTGGACATCGTGATAACCCGCGCGACACGAAGCTAATGCGAGCTGTACCTTTCGATTACCCGTGTGACGCGAGGCTAACGCCATATCTTGCTGGGCAAGCTCCCAAGCGGGCACTGGACAATAGGATGTGAGGTTCATGGCGATCTTTGAAGCTGAGTTTTACAGCAAAAATGAGGAATGGCCAATGAAACCAATAGCGAGTAAGAAACATGGCTGGCGAGGATTTCAGCGAGCAAAGGACCATGCGAGGCTATCTCTAACGCATACTGAGAACCCGGCGACACGAGAAACTTACCTGGCGACGTGAGCTCCTTAGCGAGCTGCGAAGAAGGAGACGCGAGGCTTAACAACAGGATTTGCTCGCTATTTTCCTTGCGACGCGAGGCTGCCGCGAGATTGGTCTCGCTATAACCCTCGTTGGGCGAGCTCTATAATGCGCTGAAAACTGGGCGATGTGAGTTGGAAATCACGCTGAACAGCAGGCGATACAAGCTGTGCCGCAAGGTGAAATGTTACCGATGCGAGGTTTGCTTCCAGGTGCGTTGTGCATTAAACTGGGTGTCGCGAGGTACGCAACGTTGTTTGGAGCGTACGCATGTAATTTTTATTTCATTTCATGAACAACTCCAAGCGCCATAACTTTCCATCGTCCTCCATTACCTGTTCAGACACCAAGATTTAATTAAAAACTTGTTAGTGCATAAAACAAACGAAAATTTATAGTTAAGCTAAAATAAACTACGAATTGGGTTGCCTCTCAACGAGCGCCTGATTTAACGTCGCGGTACGACGCATGCGATCAAACTTAAGGTTCACTCAACAATTGAGGCTCCTGCAAATGAATCACCGATACAATATTTTCCTCATTCATGCCAAGGTAATGTTTCAACCTTTGTCCATTAACTCTAAACCTGTTCGTTCTATCCTCGGATTCAATTTCTACAGCTCCACTTAAGAGTACTTGCACCACTCTAAATGGTCACGACCATCTAGATTTTAGCTTACCCGAAAATAGTTTCAATCTTGAATTATACAACAACACGACATCTTCGGGTTTGAAAATCCTCTCTTGAATATGCTTGTCATGCATGATCTTTATCCTTTCCTTGTACAGCCTGGTGCTTTCAAAAGCATGGTAACAGAACTCATCGAGTTCATGAAGTTCTGTGACTCTACTCATACCAGCGGCCTCCATGTCAAGATTTAATTGTCTTAATTCCCCAAAAGCTCTTTGCTCTAGCTCCACCGGTAAGTGACACACCTTTTCGAACACCAATTTGTACAGTGACATACCAATCAGAGTTTTAAATGCAGTGCGGTAGGCCCATAGTACATCATCCAATTTTTTTGCCCAATCAGTCCGAGTAGCATTTACAGTTTTGGTCAAAACATTCTTGATTTCTCTGTTTGACACCTCAACTTGACCACTTGTTTGTGGGTGATACGGAGTGGCAACCTTATGGCGTACGCTATATTTTTCCAGCAACTTTGCGAAGGCTCGGTTGCAGAAGTGATTTCCTACATCACTAATGATCGCTCTTGGAGTTCCAAATCGGGTGAAGATATTTTTTCTTAGAAAGCCAATAACTCCCTTTGCATCATTTTGTCACGACCCGAAATTTCCACCTTCGAGACTGTGATGGCGCCTAACATTTCACTTGCTAGGCAAGCCAACGTTAGAATAATACTAACCATTTTAAAATAATTTTTAATTAATTAATAACAAAGAAACAAATACGGAAGTAAGTTTGAAATATAGTGAATAATCCATAATAATAACGATGTCTAAATTCCATCCCAGAATTTGGTGTCACAAGTGCACGCGCTTCTAGAATAATACAAATAAAGGTCTGAATAAAATAAAGCTGTCTGAAAACAAACACACAACTAAAGTAAAGTAGACGGGGACTTCAGAACTGCGTACGCTGTCCTCTGAATAGCTGAAACCTGAGAAAGTCTATGGTACGTCACTGGGACCAACTCCGAAATCTGCACAAGAAGTGCAGAGTGTAGTATTAGTACAACCGACCCCATGTACTGGTAAGTGCCGAGCCTAACCTCGACGAAGTAGTGGCGAGGATAAGGCAGGTCACTTACATTAACCTGTACGCAATAATAGTAATAACAACAATAATATAAATAAATCAGGTAACTCATTTTAACAGTTGAAGCCAATTCAGCAGTCATAACCAATTATTATTTCTATCAATTTCCGTTGTAGCGTGCAACACGCTTCCACAATATATTCATATTCAGTTCTCCAATATATTCATTTTAGTCAAGTCTATATAGACTTTTGAAAAAGTCTGTTGCAACGTGCAACCCGATTTCCCAATATGGACTTTTAAACAAGTCTGTTGTGGCGTGCAACCCGATCTCCCAATATGGACTTTTAATAAGTTTGTTGCGTTGTGCAACCCGATCCCCCAATATATTCATTTACCAATTCTTATTAAAAAAATTACCCCAATAAATACAACAATTAATATGAAATTATAAGACAATAAGCATACAATAATTATGATTTATTTATGAAACAGACAATGACAAGTAGCAATTTATTTTGGAAATCAGGGAGAAAATAGGCAGTTTAATATTTAATATGCTAAATGTCAAGTAATAATTAAGACACATAAATCAAATAAGCATGTAACAATTATTGCAGGAATTCAACAATTAATATTTGACAAAGAATAGGAGAAACAATTATTATAATAATTAATCCGTGTCTTAGAATAATTTATGATTTTCAAATAATTATGCAAACAATTAATTTGACGATGTATAGACACTCGTCACCTCGCCTATACGTCGTTCGCATGCATTTCACATAACAAATAATTTAAGGGTTCTATTCCCTCAATTCAAGGTTAACCACGACACTTACCTCCCTTTGCAATTTTAATCAATTACTCGACCACAACTTTTCCTTTTGAATTTGTCCCCAAAAGCGTTAAATCTATTCATAAACAATTTGAGATACTCAATACGAATCATAGGAATTAATTCCATATGAATTTACTAATTTTTCGGATAAAATCCGAAATTCACTTTAAAAATTGACAGTGGGGCCCACGTCTCAAATCTTGGAAAAAATTACGAAATCCAAACACCCATTTCGAGACGAGTCCAACCATATAAAAATTATCAAATTCCGATGTCAAATGAACCTTCAAATCTTAAATTTTTGTTTTTGGAAGATTTTATAAAAATCTGATTTTTCTCCCAAAATTTTACAGATTCATGATATAAATGAGAATGGAATCATGAAATATAATCAATATAGGATAAGGAATATTTATCCCAATATTTTCCCGTAAAAATCGCCCAAGAATCGCCTTACCCGAGCTCAAAAATGAAAAATGGTTGAACATGGGACGAAAGCCTATTTCTAGAACTTAAGTTCTGTTCGTCCAGATTTTTACTCATCGCGATCGCGGAAATTCGTTCGTGATTGCGTAGAACAACTTTTGCCCAGGTTCGTTTAACTCTACGCGATTGCGTAAATGGCCATGCGATCGCAGAGAACATTTTCTCAACATTACGCGATCGCGTACAGGCTTATGCGATCGCGTAGCACAAATTCAGTGCTTCAGCTTCTGCCTCATTCCTTCTACGCGATCACAACTTGGTCCCCGCGTTCGCAGTGCACTGGAAGCTAACCTTCCGCGTTCGCGTGTCTATCTTCGCGAACGTGAAGGGTAAAACTCACGGCTCACAATTTCCTCTTCGCGATCGCGAAGCACAATACACCAGATGACAGTAGAAGCTCAAAAACCAGATTTTCTAAGTTCAAAATCATCCCGTAGCCTACCCGAAACTCACCCGAGCCCTCGGGACTTCAAACCAAACATACACACAAGTCCTAAAACATAATACGAACTTGTTCGCGCGATCAAATCGCCAAAATAACATCTAGAACTACGAATTAAATACCAAATCGAATGAAATTTTTAAGAAAACTTTAAAACTTATATTTTCACAACCGGACGTCTGAATCATGTCAAATCAACTCCGTTTCTCAACAAATTTGGCAGACAAATCATAAATATTATAGTGGACCCATACTGGGCTCCAAAACCAAAATACAGACCCGGTGTCAATAAATCCAACATCAGTAAATTCTTAAAAATCATTAAGCTTTCAAACTTTTAATTTTTCATCAAAAGTTCATATCTCGGGCTAAGACCTCGGAATTTGATTCCGGGCATACGCCCAAGTTCCAAATCACAATACAGACCTACCGAAACTGTCAAAATACTGATCCGAGTCCGTTTGCTCAAAATGTTGACCAAAGTCAACTCAGTTGAGTTTTAAAGCTCTATTTCACATTTTAATCCATTTTTCACACAAAAACTTTCCGAAAAATTATACGGACTGCGCATGCAAGTCGAGGAATGATAAATAGTGCTTTTTGAGGTCCTAGAACATATAATTAATTATTAAATTTAAAGATGACCCTTTGGATCATCACACATTTTTTGGGAGTGCTACAGCTTCTACCCATTTCAAGACATAGTCCACTGCTACTAGTATATATTTGTTGTTGTATGAGCTAACAAATGGTCCCATAATGTCCCCATACATCAAATACTTCCACTTCTTGGATTGGGTTCATGGGCATCTCATGTCGACGGGAAATATTTCCTGTCCTTTGACACTCATCACAGCTCTTTACCCAAAAGTGTGCATCTTTAAACAACATCGGCCAATAGAAGCCTGACTCTAAAACTTTAGCAGTTGTCCTTACTCCTCTGAAATGACCTCCATAAGGCA